ACACTGGCGGAAGCAGCAGCAGCGGACCTGGACGTGGTTCAAGTGGAGGAGGTCGAGGAGGCGGTCGCGGAGGCGGACGAGGAGGGCGCACTGGAGAACGCGGCGGACGTGGAGCAACTGCTCCATCCACGGGTGGGTTTCCCCCGTGTCAGTACGTCATTCGTCAAGGCCCCAACAAAGGTCAGACCTGCAACCAGACCACTCATCCAACTGAAACGTGCTTCAAAGCCCTCACTGATGAATGGCTTGCACGCGGCAACACAGGTCCCCCTCCACGTTGGAACACTATCACCCCTCGCCCCACCCCTCATGATATTCGCACCCTCTCCACCTATGCACCCTCTCCACTTAACCTCCATAATGTCCTCGCTCAGCACCTCTCCCCTCACGTCCTCCAGCAAGTCCAACACCTTCTTCCCACACCCACCACCACCCCTACGCCCTCCACCCTCACCACTCCGCCTCCACCCACGCCCCCACCTCCAACCCCTCCCTCCCCCTATCCTCCTCTCTGTCCTCCTCCTTATGCCGGCTGGCCCTACCCTCCCTACCCCCCATCTATGTATGGCCATAGAACTGCCGCAACTGCTGCAACTACTGAACAACCCACCTCCTCCTCTCACCCCCCCGGCTTCACACCGTTTCCTTCCACAGGATTCATAGGTCATGTCACCACTGCTAGCTCTTGCAATAATCCTATGTATGCCAATGCTATTAATGAGTCCTCATTCCAGTACTCCGTGTCCTCCTCCTCCCAGCCCCTTGAGTTCATCCTTGACAGCGGTGCCACCCACACGGTCCTTCGTGATGCAGGCACGCTCCTCCCCCTCTCCACCCCCTCCACAATCTATGGGGATGACTCAAGCTTTGCCATACAAAGCCGTTACACCTCCACACTCCCCTGTCCCCTCTTTCCCTCAGGTACTGTCACAGGTCTCTATGTCCCCTCCCTTCGTAACAACCTGGTTTCCCTTGGTGCCCTCTCAACGGCAGGTGTCACCGCCTTATTTCCTGGTCACGCAGCATATTGTGACTTATTTCACACCCCCTCCGGTCGCTTCCTCTGCCGTGTCCATCGGTGCCCCTCCACCCACATGTACACCTTCCGCATCCCCCGCCCCACCCTTCACCAACTCTCCACACCCCATCCCCCCGCCCCCTCCCCTCCTCTCGAACCTCTCCCTCCCCCTCCAACTCCCCCTCCCCCCCTTCCTTCCCCCTCCCCCTCCCCCTCCCCCTCCCCCTCCCCCTCCCCCTCCCCCTCCCCCCGCCCCTTCCCCCCCCCCCCCCATCTAACCCACCCTCCCCCTGTCACTGTCGTAATCTCACACACCCCACCATTCTCCTCCACCATCGCCTAGGCCATCCCAACTTTGCCACCCTTCGCCGATCCATCCTCACTAAACTCCTTGACGGTCTCCCCCTTACCCTTCCCCCCCTCCCTCCGTCCCCCTCCCCTCCTTGCTCAGTTTGTGTTGAAAGCAAGCTGAAGCAACAACCACACACGAGTAACCCCTCCTTTTCCCTCCAACCCCTTGACCTCGTTCACATGGATATGTGGGGCCCTAACCCTTCCCCCACCAGGCAAGGACATCGCTATCTCCTGATCCTGGTGGATGATCACAGTCGATACTCCTCCGTCACCCTCCTTCGTACGAAGGCGGAGGCCCCGGCTGCCATCACTGCCTGGGCTGAACAAGCACGCAACCACTTCGGTCGCCCTGTTCGCCGCTTCCATTCCGATGGAGGCGGTGAGTTCCTCAACCACACCCTGTCCTCCTACTGCACCACTCACGGCATCCTCCACACCTACACTCTCCCTCACTCTCCTCAGCAGAATGGTGTGGCGGAGAGCCGCGTGCGGGAGATCACCAAAACGGCTCGGTGCCTCCTCGTTCACGCCTCCTGCCCACCTTCTCTGTGGGGCTATGCCATCCTTCATGCTGCCATCCTCACTAACCTCTACCCCCACCCTTCCCGTCCCACCTCCACCCCCACCGAACTATGGACCTCCAGCAAGCCTGACATATCTCCTCTGCGCGTTTGGGGTTGCAAGGCGTATGTCCTCATACACCCTGCTGACCGCTCACGCGCACGTGGAAAGCTTGCGTCCCGCACACTCCCCTGTGTCTACCTTGGACACAACACCAACTCACCTGACTACCTTTTCCTCCACCCCCCCTCAGGCCGCCTCATCCGTAGTCGGGACGTGGTCTTTGACGAGGCCACCCCGTACTACACCTCCCCCTCCGCCCCTAACCCCCTTCCCCCATTTCCCCGGCCCCTTCTCTGGACTGACACCCTGCCCCTCCTCCCGTCCCCTGCCATGACCCCTCCCCCCCCCTCCCCCACCCCTCCCCCCCCTCTCCCCTCTCCTCCAGCTCCTCCGGCGACATCCTTAACCCACCCCCCCCCTCCCCCTCCCACTCCACTACCTCACCTTCCGCTGCAACCCACCTCCCTCCTCCTCCTCCCCCTCCTCCACCTCCCCCACCCCCTTCCCCTCCATCCCCCCTCCCCTCCTCTAATCCGGCCCCCCCTCTGCCTCCCCCCCCCCCTTCCCCAGCGCCCCTCCCCTACCCTTGTCCTTCCCCGCTATCCCCACACCCGCTCCCTGGACCCCATCCTTGGTTCCCCACAGACTTCCCCCCCCTCCCTCCTCGCCCTCATCGGTACTCCTCTCCCCCCCCGCTTCAGCCCCCTCACTCCAGATCCACTGCGCAACCGCTCCACGCTCTTTCCTGCACCACCGCGCAGCCGAGCAGCAGCACTTCAATGTCCCAGACTCGACCTCCAGCGCAGCTGTCTTGCATCTTCACCACCCCCTCTACCTCCTCCTCTCTCTCCTCTCCTCTACGAAGACACCCACGACGAACTCCTCTTCCTCCACCTCCTCGCACCCTCCATCGCCCCCATCGTCCGCACCATGGCAGGCACTCCAGTTCTTCTTTTCTCGGGCACCCCCACCATCTTCGAACCCACCACGTACGAGGAGGCTATTGCGTGCCTCGACGCCCACTCTGGATTGAAGCCATGGTCAAGGAGAGCAACGCTTTCATCCACAACCGCTCCTTCATCGACGTCCCTCGCCCTGCCAAGACCAATGTCGTCAAGGGCAAATGGCTCTTCCGTGTCAAGCTTCTCCCTGGCGAAGACCCTGTTTACAAAGCTCGCTATGTGGCGAAGGGCTTCACGCAAAAGCACGGCTTTGACTTCTTCGACACATACTCACCCACTGCTACCCCACCGGTCGTTCGGGTGTTCCTCGACTTCGTCGGCAGACGCGGCATGCTGTTACACTCCATGGATGTCACTACCGCCTTCCTCCAAGGCGACCTACACGAACTCATCTTCATGGAACGCCCCAAAGGCTTTCACGCTCCACATGACCCGTCCACCGTTTGGAAGCTGCTCCGACCCGTCTACGGCCTCAAGCAAGCACCCCGGGAGTGGCATGCCAAGCTCTCTTCCACCCTTCGCGAGCCTGGTTTTCGCCCCTCCCGAGCTGCCTCCAGCCTCTTCCTTCGGACGACTCCGTCCCCTTTCTACATTCTCGTCTACGTCGACGACATGCTACTAGCCGCTGACACAGATGCTGCGATGCAGGAGGTAAAGGACGAACTACAGCGTCGCCTCGCCTGCAAAGATTTGGGGGAGGTCCGCAACTACCTTGGCATGGAGATCACCCGCGACCTCAAGGCTAAGACTATCTCCCTCTCTCAGTCCTTCTACATTGAGAAGGTCCTTGAGAGGTTTGGAATGTCAAAAGCCAAGCCCATCGCCACCCCGCTTGCAGTTGGGCACCAGCTCTCGCCCCCTGCCACCCCCACCGACTCCTCTAACCCCTATGCAGAACTTGTCGGGGCCCTGATGTACGCCATGGTCTGCACCCGCCCCGACCTTGCCTACCCAGTCAGTGTTCTGGCGCGATTCGTTGGTGTCGGCAGGCACACGGAGGAACACATGACGGCAGCCCGGCGTGTCCTACGCTACCTTCAGCACACGAAGGATTACACCCTCACCCTTGGTGGAGCAGACCTGCCGGTTCTCACTGGCTTCAGCGACTCGTCCTGGGCAGACTCACAGCCTGATCGTCGCAGCTCACAAGGATATGGCTTCACCCTTGGGAGCGGCCTCATCAGCTGGCGCTCCACCCGCTCCTCCTCCATCGCCCTCTCCTCCTGCGAGGCTGAACTGTACGCGGTCACGATGGCAGCACAGGAAGCACGCTGGCTCAGCTATCTCCTCACAGACCTTGGCTCACCACAGCCTTGTCCCACTCTCTGGTGTGACAACGCCAGCACCATCCACCTCACCAAAGAAGCTGTGTTCCATGGTCGCTCCAAGCATATCGAGCTCCGACACTTCTTTGTCCGTGATCTTGTCCAGGATGGCCACATTACCGTGCGCAAGATCGACTCTTCCTCCAACCCCGCCGACATATTCACTAAGGCCCTCGACCGCTCTACTCACTCGGCAATTTTGCCGCTCCTGGGCCTTGCTCCCCATGGTGACTGATTCAGGGGTTGCTGTCTTATCTCATCCAGGTTTATAGATCTATGCAGGCTAAGGGGTTGTGTTAGATTCTACTACTCTTCTGTATCCTGCATTGATCCTATAAACCCTAGGACAGAGATAGGCACCCAAACTATGTTTGGGTGCACAACTAGGGTTAACCCTAGTTGGGGGTTGGAACCCAACCTTGGTCCAATTATTGGCCCCCAAGGTTGAGTTGAGAGATTATTGGCCCCCCCAATAATGTTGGCCCACTTTTGGCCAACATTATTGGGACCCCCCAATAATTCTCCAACCTAACTTATTGGTGGGGGGCCAATAATGATGACTAGGTACCCAACCAACCCCCCCCTCCCCTAGCTTCAACTATGTAAGCCCATATGATTCCTAATCAACTCAATGGTTCAATTCTAACAGTGGGGACACCCATCTCCTACCCCAGAAAGACATGGGAGGGATGTACAGGGGGTGGGGACACCCATCTCCTACCCCAGAAAGACATGGGAGGGATGTACAGGGGGTGGGGACACCCATCTCCTACCCCAGAAAGACATGGGAGGGATGTACAGGGGGTGGGGACACCCATCTCCTACCCCAGAAAGACATGGGAGGGATGTACAGGGGGTGGGGACACCCATCTCCTACCCCAGAAAGACATGGGAGGGATGTACAGGGGGTGGGGACACCCATCTCCTACCCCAGAAAGACATGGGAGGGATGTACAGGGGGTGGGGACACCCATCTCCTACCCCAGAAAGACATGGGAGGGATGTACAGGGGGTGGGGACACCCATCTCCTACCCCAGAAAGACATGGGAGGGATGTACAGGGGGTGGGGACACCCATCTCCTACCCCAGAAAGACATGGGAGGGATGTACAGGGGGTGGGGACACCCATCTCCTACCCCAGAAAGACATGGGAGGGATGTACAGGGGGTGGGGACACCCATCTCCTACCCCAGAAAGACATGGGAGGGATGTACAGGGGGTGGGGACACCCATCTCCTACCCCAGAAAGACATGGGAGGGATGTACAGGGGGTGGGGATACCCATCTCCTACCCCAGAAAGACATGGGAGGGATGTACAGGGGGTGGGGACACCCATCTCCTACCCCAGAAAGACATGGGAGGGATGTACAGGGGGTGGGGACACCCATCTCCTACCCCAGAAAGACATGGGAGGGAGGTACAGGGGGTGGGGACACCCATCTCCTACCCCAGAAAGACATGGGAGGGATGTACAGGGGGTGGGGACACCCATCTCCTACCCCAGAAAGACATGGGAGGGATGTACAGGGGGTGGGGACACCCATCTCCTACCCCAGAAAGACATGGGAGGGATGTACAGGGGGTGGGGACACCCATCTCCTACCCCAGAAAGACATGGGAGGGATGTACAGGGGGTGGGGACACCCATCTCCTACCCCAGAAAGACATGGGAGGGAGGTACAGGGGGTGGGGACACCCATCTCCTACCCCAGAAAGACATGGGAGGGATGTACAGGGGGTGGGGACACCCATCTCCTACCCCAGAAAGACATGGGAGGGATGTACAGGGGGTGGGGACACCCATCTCCTACCCCAGAAAGACATGGGAGGGATGTACAGGGGGTGGGGACACCCATCTCCTACCCCAGAAAGACATGGGAGGGATGTACAGGGGGTGGGGACACCCATCTCCTACCCCAGAAAGACATGGGAGGGATGTACAGGGGGTGGGGACACCCATCTCCTACCCCAGAAAGACATGGGAGGGATGTACAGGGGGTGGGGACACCCATCTCCTACCCCAGAAAGACATGGGAGGGATGTACAGGGGGTGGGGACACCCATCTCCTACCCCAGAAAGACATGGGAGGGATGTACAGGGGGTGGGGACACCCATCTCCTACCCCAGAAAGACATGGGAGGGAGGTACAGGGGGTGGGGACACCCATCTCCTACCCCAGAAAGACATGGGAGGGATGTACAGGGGGTGGGGACACCCATCTCCTACCCCAGAAAGACATGGGAGGGAGGTACAGGGGGTGGGGACACCCATCTCCTACCCCAGAAAGACATGGGAGGGATGTACAGGGGGTGGGGACACCCATCTCCTACCCCAGAAAGACATGGGAGGGATGTACAGGGGGTGGGGACACCCATCTCCTACCCCAGAAAGACATGGGAGGGATGTACAGGGGGTGGGGACACCCATCTCCTACCCCAGAAAGACATGGGAGGGATGTACAGGGGGTGGGGAGACCCATCTCCTACCCCAGAAAGACATGGGAGGGATGTACAGGGGGTGGGGACACCCATCTCCTACCCCAGAAAGACATGGGAGGGATGTACAGGGGGTGGGGACACCCATCTCCTACCCCAGAAAGACATGGGAGGGATGTACAGGGGGTGGGGACACCCATCTCCTACCCCAGAAAGACATGGGAGGGATGTACAGGGGGTGGGGACACCCATCTCCTACCCCAGAAAGACATGGGAGGGATGTACAGGGGGTGGGGACACCCATCTCCTACCCCAGAAAGACATGGGAGGGAGGTACAGGGGGTGGGGACACCCATCTCCTACCCCAGAAAGACATGGGAGGGATGTACAGGGGGTGGGGACACCCATCTCCTACCCCAGAAAGACATGGGAGGGATGTACAGGGGGTGGGGACACCCATCTCCTACCCCAGAAAGACATGGGAGGGATGTACAGGGGGTGGGGACACCCATCTCCTACCCCAGAAAGACATGGGAGGGATGTACAGGGGGTGGGGACACCCATCTCCTACCCCAGAAAGACATGGGAGGGAGGTACAGGGGGTGGGGACACCCATCTCCTACCCCAGAAAGACATGGGAGGGATGTACAGGGGGTGGGGACACCCATCTCCTACCCCAGAAAGACATGGGAGGGATGTACAGGGGGTGGGGACACCCATCTCCTACCCTAGAAAGACATGGGAGGGATGTACAGGGGATGGGGACACCCATCTCCTACCCCAGAAAGACATGGGAGGGATGTACAGGGGGTGGGGACACCCATCTCCTACCCCAGAAAGACATGGGAGGGATGTACAGGGGGTGGGGACACCCATCTCCTACCCCAGAAAGACATGGGAGGGATGTACAGGGGGTGGGGACACCCATCTCCTACCCCAGAAAGACATGGGAGGGATGTACAGGGGGTGGGGACACCCATCTCCTACCCCAGAAAGACATGGGAGGGATGTACAGGGGGTGGGGACACCCATCTCCTACCCCAGAAAGACATGGGAGGGATGTACAGGGGGTGGGGACACCCATCTCCTACCCCAGAAAGACATGGGAGGGATGTACAGGGGGTGGGGACACCCATCTCCTACCCCAGAAAGACATGGGAGGGATGTACAGGGGGTGGGGACACCCATCTCCTACCCCAGAAAGACATGGGAGGGATGTACAGGGGGTGGGGACACCCATCTCCTACCCCAGAAAGACATGGGAGGGATGTACAGGGGGTGGGGACACCCATCTCCTACCCCAGAAAGACATGGGAGGGATGTACAGGGGGTGGGGACACCCATCTCCTACCCCATAAAGACATGGGAGGGAGGTACAGGGGGTGGGGACACCCATCTCCTACCCCAGAAAGACATGGGAGGGATGTACAGGGGGTGGGGACACCCATCTCCTACCCCAGAAAGACATGGGAGGGATGTACAGGGGGTGGGGACACCCATCTCCTACCCCAGAAAGACATGGGAGGGATGTACAGGGGGTGGGGACACCCATCTCCTACCCCAGAAAGACATGGGAGGGAGGTACAGGGGGTGGGGACACCCATCTCCTACCCCAGAAAGACATGGGAGGGATGTACAGGGGGTGGGGACACCCATCTCCTACTCCAGAAAGACATGGGAGGGATGTACAGGGGGTGGGGACACCCATCTCCTACCCCAGAAAGACATGGGAGGGATGTACAGGGGGTGGGGACACCCATCTCCTACCCCAGAAAGACATGGGAGGGATGTACAGGGGGTGGGGACACCCATCTCCTACCCCAGAAAGACATGGGAGGGATGTACAGGGGGTGGGGACACCCATCTCCTACCCCAGAAAGACATGGGAGGGATGTACAGGGGGTGGGGACACCCATCTCCTACCCCAGAAAGACATGGGAGGGATGTACAAGGGGTGGGGACACCCATCTCCCACCCCAGAAAGACATGGGAGGGATGTACAGGGGGTGGGGACACCCATCTCCTACCCCAGAAAGACATGGGAGGGATGTACAGGGGGTGGGGACACCCATCTCCTACCCCAGAAAGACATGGGAGGGATGTACAGGGGGTGGGGACACCCATCTCCTACCCCAGAAAGACATGGGAGGGATGTACAGGGGGTGGGGACACCCATCTCCTACCCCAGAAAGACATGGGAGGGATGTACAGGGGGTGGGGACACCCATCTCCTACCCCAGAAAGACATAGGAGGGATGTACAGGGGGTGGGGACACCCATCTCCTACCCCAGAAAGACATGGGAGGGATGTACAGGGGGTGGGGACACCCATCTCCTACGTGGTTGGAAATTTGGGAGCAAGGCTTGCATTTCGTTTTTCCAGCGCTGAACCCCCTGGTGCAATTTTTTACCCCCTCTATAGGTTTGCACGATTCGTTAAACCCCTGCCTATGGGGCGCGAAGTTGAGCAGGTAAATTCGTCATTTACCGTCTGCACCTTCCGCCCCTGCTCCCGAAGTTTCCCGCTTTTGGTTGTAACCGGGGGGGGGGGGGGGGGGTTATATCGATGGGGAAACTGCTTAGGAACCCTCGTCATTTACCTTCGCCCCCCCTCCTCCCCCCCACGGCATGTGCCTACAGAACAGAGCCAATGTTGCGCTGTATGAAGTTTGTAGTGTAGTGCACGAGTTGACATCATTTTAAAAACTAAGCTGGTACAATATAGTACGGTACTATGAATGATGAATTGAATTGCAGTGCAGAGCATGAGGCTTATGTGACTTTGTAAGGGCGTGATGGATGCATTGTGCTGAGAGACTGCATGACAGATCACTCTAATGTGCTATTATGCTGGGCGGGGTTGTGGATACACAAAATCTGGAAGAGAACAAAAATCAGATCAGAAGAATGAAATGATAGGAAGCTGCACTGCTATGAAACTTCAGAGCTATGTCTTGCTTCCATCCTGCTCATAAAACCACACGCCGTTATCAATTGCTGTGCTTGCCATCCATCGTTGCTTTTCACCTGCCCGGACTGCAGGTCATCAACGGATTTTTCTCCAATGGGCAGCCCGTGATTCCTCGGGCAGCTCTTGCGCAACAAGAGCAGCGAACTGGGGAACGGGAGCAGCAGTCTGAGCCTTCAAACGGGGATACCCAACGTGACAACGAACGAAACGGCCGTGAGGCGTCTGATGCTGTTCCCAAAAGACCAGCACTCGGGGTATGCATGCAGATAGAAAATGATTTTTGAGATGTCTAAAAAATCAGAAGAGCAGCGCCTAGGGTATACAGATGGGACATGGAGGCAAGGTGCAGAGAGGACAGTCACATTGCAGGTAATCGTGCAACAGCATGGCACAGAGCACAGCCCCCCTGAGACGCCTTTTGAATCTTCCCTAAGGTCAAAGACGCCTGCCAGCCACTGCCAGCCTGCCAGCCACTGCCCGCCAGCGAGGCTCTGGTTCCTTATTTGTAACCTCTGGCTGGCTAGTCGATGCACTTCCGTTCTGTGCATGCCCCACCCATCCCGATTCCCCACCCACTTCCGTTTTCTGCCCTGTTCGCAGCTGCCACCCACCCAACCCAACCCTGTCCTCCGTCTGACCATCGCTGCCTGCAGGTCATCCCACTCGGCACCGGCACCGACTTTGCTCGAACTTTTGGTTGGTCAGTTCTGTTCTGCTTGCTACAGCAACCACCCAGCACTTACTGCTGCATCAGGGCTGCTCATAGAACGGTCTCATGTCAGCCCACCTCGGTGCTGGTCAGTTCTCCACAGCACAGCACAGCACAGCACAGCACCGCACCCAGCCACCCAGCAATCAATCCCTTACCCAAGTGCTCTCAGCACAGTCCCTTTCTCTCTCATCGTTGACTGCTCAATTCCTTGCTCATATTTGACTGCTCAATCCACCACAGCGCCCACCCACCCAGCACTCATTCCATTACCAAGGCTGCTCTCAACAGTCCCTCATCAGCCCACCTCTGCTGCTTATGGAGGGAAGCGGTGGGGGTGAAGAAACAGGATTTGGATAGTTGATGGCCATTGGTTGTTATGGCTGCTGATGTGGCAACAGGAGGCGCAATGAGTTTTGAGTCGTTAAAGTGTTTATCTTTGTATCGACTCAGTAATTGGTTGTTGTGGCTGTTGATGTGGCATCAGGAGGAGCAATGACGTGAAGGCTTCGGTGGCAAGGATAGCACGAGGTACGGCCTTGTATGGTGCGGTGTGGTGCGGTGTGGTGTGATACGGTGTGCAACAATACTGTAAACAATAATGTGATATGATACACTGCACTAGAGTACTCACAATGCTGTAAGCGTGAAGATGTGAAATGTGGGTGAGCGTGCATGTCGGATGCATTCAGTTCAGCTGCTCAGCTACTCTTGAGTTCAGCTGCTCAGCTACTCTTGAGTTCAGCTGCTCAGCTACTCTTGAGTTCAGCTGCTTCCCATCAACCCTTCTTTTTTTCCTCTCCACTGAACCCTCCTCGCACAACCACCGCAGGGCATCGGATGCACATGCGACACCTGCAGTGCACATGCGACACCTGCAGTGCACATGCGACACCTGCAGTGCACATGCGACACCTGCAGTGCAGCCATCTCCCCAACACCCTCCTGCTCGACTTTCTTTTCTTCCTTGCAACCCTCTGACCCTCTCCCTCGAACCCAACCGCAGGACAGCGCGTGAGATTGGATTTGGGGCGTGTGCAGCTGCCAGCTTATTGCTCTTCTAGCACCCCTCCCCCACCAACCCTCCTCTTCCCATCAACCTAACCACAGGGCAGCACATGGCAGTGGACGTAGGGCGAGTTCAGCTGTCTGCCTGTCACCCCTCTTTTCCATCCGTAATCCTCACCACACCACACCGCTTTCCACCCCTCTGTCCTCCCTCCAATCTACCGCAGGGCAGCGCAGGGCAGTGGACGTGGGGCGAGTTCAGCTGCCTGCCTGTGCTGTGGATCGCTGCTTCATCAACGTGGCCGATGTGCACCTGTGAGTGGCTGAATTAATGAGCCAACGGGTCTTTCCTACCTGACAAAACCTTATTGTCGGGCAAACCCAATTGGGCCAGGCCGACCCTAAACACTCGAGTCAGCCATGTCGTGACTTCAACCCGACCCGACAGGTTAATCTGTTTTTGAGGCGCCTCAAAATGGCATCGCCTTGGGGTCCCTCTGCTATTCCATCGCAAACACACCCACTCCCTTGACTCTCCCCTATCGCCACCCTCTCAGCTCCTCTCCTTGATGCATCCAGGAGTGCACTTGTGGGGCAGAAGTCTCTCTGAGAGCCCTTGCTATTCCATCAAGTGCACAAGTGCACTCCCTTCCCTTGCAAGGGCTTTCAAAGAGACTGCTGCCCCACCCACACCCCACCCTCCCCTGTCGCCCCCCTGCTCGCCTCCACGAGTGCATGCACGTGTGGGGCGGGCAGCAGTGTCTCTGAAAGCCCTGTGGCCTCTCTGCTACCCATCACAACCACACTCCACACCCTGTGACTCTCCCCTCTGCCATAACTGCCTGCATCCACAAGTGCACGCGTGTGGCAGGCAACAGTCTCTCTGAAGGCCCTGGGATCTCTCTGCTATCCATCGCAACCACACCTCACACGTCTGTGTCCCCTATCACCCCCCTGTTTTCTCCTCCCCTTCCCACATCCAGGAGTGCGCGTGTGGGGCGGGCAGCAGTCTCTCTGAAGACCCTGGGACCCCTCTGTTACTCCACCACAAACACACTCCCTACTCCACACCCCACCCACTCACCACCCTCCCCTATCAATCACCTACCTCCCTCCAGGAGTGCGCGTGTGGGGCGGGCAGCAGTCTCTCTGAAGGCCCTGGGACCTCTCTGTTACGCGGTGGCGGCCTTTATAGCATTTCCTAAGCACCGGAACTTAGACCTAAGCATCAGGGTGAGTGCATACACTGCTCATTGTACCTTGCCGCATTGTCAAGCACAGGACGCACCCCCTCACCATCTCTGCTTCTCCTCCTCTCACCCTCTCCTCCTCTCATCCTTTGGTCACTCTCCCTTCTCTCGTTTTCTATGCCCTGCGTATCCCACAGAGGGACAAGGGCCCTTAAGAAACCCTCCCAGCAGACACCAGAAGCTTTGTGTGCAGTTCCAGCTACGTCGCCCTTACCCCCTCTTCACTGCTGCCGTGCTCCTCTGCTGTACCCTGCGCATCCCGCAGAGGGACAACAACCCATGGTAGACCTTCCCAACTGTCACCACGATCGGAGTGGGAAACAGCAGCTATTCTGGAGGTGCCATGAGCAGCTCTATACATATTGCCCCTCCTCCCACCCCACGCACACCCCCCTTCTCCTCTCTGTGCCCGCAGAAAGACAACGGCCCCTGGGAGACCCTCCCAGCAGTCACCACGATCGCGGTGGGCAACGGCGAGCTACTTTGAAGCTACAGCCATTTCTCTTCCGCCGCCCTCCCCACTTTTCGCCTGCACACCCGACAGAGGGACAGCGGCCCCTGGAAAACCCTTCCAGCGGTCACCAGGATTGCGGTGGGCAACGCTAACTACTACGGGGGAGGGTTGAAGATCTCCCTGCGTGTCACTCCCTTTACCACCCCAACCAAACCCCCCTTCTCCTCTCCATGCCCGCAGAGGGACAACAGCCCCTGGGAAACCCTCCCAGCAGTAACCACGATCGCGATGGGCCATGTTAGCAAATTCGCCCTTACTCCATATTCCCTTTTGCCAACCTCCTTTCCTTGTGTCGGCACATCCCGCAGAGGGACAACGGCCCCTGGGAAACCCTCCCAGCAGTCACCACCATTGCGGTGGGCAACGCCAACTACTATGGGGGAGGGATGAAGATCTGCCCAAATGCGAATCCCAGCGCAGGCTCTCTGGATGTACGCTGGGGGTTGGGGAGCTCGCGGGGTGGTGTGCAACGGATTAGGGTACTGAGGATTGGGTGCCAGTGGGCACCGCCAACTACTATGGGGGAGGGATGAAGATCTGGATCCCAGCTCGGGATCCCTGGATGTGCGTTTGGGGGTGGGGGGCGCTGGGACAGTTGGCAGTCGAGGTGGGCAACGCCTGTTAGAATTGAACCATTGAGTTGATTAGGAATCATACGGGCTTACATAGTTGAAGCTAGGGGAGGGGGGGTTGGTTGGGTACCTAGTCATCATTATTGGCCCCCCACCAATAAGTTAGGTTGGAGAATTATTGGGGGGTCCCAATAATGTTGGCCAAAAGTGGGCCAACATTATTGGGGGGGCCAATAATCTCTCAACTCAACCTTGGGGGCCAATAATTGGACCAAGGTTGGGTTCCAACCCCCAACTAGGGTTAACCCTAGTTGTGCACCCAAACATAGTTTGGGTGCCTATCTCTGTCCTAGGGTTTATAGGATCAATGCAGGATACAGAAGAGTAGTAGAATCTAACAACGCCAACTACTATGGGGGAGGGATGAAGATCTGCCCAAATGCGAATCCCACCGCAGGCTCTCTGGATGTGCATTTGGGGTTGGGAGTTGGTGTGTTGGGGTTGGTGAGCTGGGGAGTGGGCACCGCCAACGCTAACTACTATGGGGGAGGGATGAAGATCTGCCCAAATGCGAATCCCACCGCAGGCTCTTTGGATGTGCATTTGGGGTTGGGAGTTGGTGTGTTGGGGTTGGTGAGCTGGGGAGTGGGCACCGCCAACGCCAACTACTATGGGGGAGGGCTGAAGATCTGCCCAAATGCGAATCCCACCGCAGGCTCTCTGGATGTGCATTTGGGGTTGGGAGTTGGTGTGTTGGGGCTGGTGAGCTGGGGAGTGGGCACCGCCAACGCCAACTACTATGGGGGAGGGATGAAGATCTGCCCAAATGCGAATCCCACCGCAGGCTCTCTGGATGTGCATTTGGGGTTGGGAGTTGGTGTGTTGGGGCTGGTGAGCTGGGGAGTGGGCACCGCCAACGCCAACTACTATGGGGGAGGGATGAAGATCTGCCCAAATGCGAATCCCACCGCAGGCTCTCTGGATGTGCATTTGGGGTTGGGAGTTGGTGTGTTGGGGTTGGTGAGCTGGGGAGTGGGCACCGCCAACTACTATGGGGGAGGGATGAAGATCTGCCCAAATGCGAATCCCACCGCAGGCTCTCTGGATGTGCATTTGGGGTTGGGAGTTGGTGTGTTGGGGTTGGTGAGCTGGGGAGTGGGCACCGCCAACTACTATGGGGGAGGGATGAAGATCTGCCCAAATGCGAATCCCACCGCAGGCTCTCTGGATGTGCATTTGGGGTTGGGAGTTGGTGTGTTGGGGCTGGTGAGCTGGGGAGTGGGCACCGCCAACGCCAACTACTATGGGGGAGGGATGAAGATCTGCCCGTGTGCGGATCCCAGCTCGGGATCCCTTGATGTGCGTTTGGGGTTGGGAGTTGGTGTGCGGGGGTTGTTGAGCTGAGGGTTGGGTCGCAGTGGGCAATGCCAATTTCTTCGGGGGAGGCATGATGATCTGCCCACATGCGAATCCCAGCTTCCAAACCCTGGATGTGCGTTTGGGGATAGGGAGGGCATGGTGGTGGGGATTGTGAGTCTGTGGCATGTGTGATAAGTAACATTGGGGTCGACTCGAATGGCAGGTACCTGAGGGTTTGAGGTGGGTATGGCAGCTACTTTGGGGGAGGGATGAAGATCTGCCTGCGTGCGGATCCCAGCTCGGGATCCCTGGATGTGCGTTTGGGGGTGGGGGATTGGTGTGGGTGCTGCAGGGTTGGTGATTTGCGGTGGGCATCGCTAACTACTATGGCGGAGGGATGAAGATCTGCCCGCATGCGAGTCCCAGCTCGGGATCCCTGGATGTGCGTTTGGGGGTGGGGGATTGGTGTGGGTGCTGCAGGGTTGGTGATTTGCGGTGGGCATCGCTAACTACTATGGCGGAGGGATGAAGATCTGCCCGCATGCGAGTCCCAGCTCGGGATCCCTGGATGTGCGTATGGGGGTGGGGGATTGGTGTGGGTGCTGCAGGGTTGGTGATTTGCGGTGGGCATCGCTAACTACTATGGCGGAGGGATGAAGATCTGCCCGCATGCGAGTCCCAGCTCGGGATCCCTGGATGTGCGTTTGGGGGTGGGGGATTGGTGTGGGTGCTGCAGGGTTGGTGATTTGCGGTGGGCATCGCTAACTACTATGGCGGAGGGATGAAGATCTGCCCGCATGCGAGTCCCAGCTCGGGATCCCTGGATGTGCGTTTGGGGGTGGGGGATTGGTGTGGGTGCTGCAGGGTTGGTGATTTGCGGTGGGCATCGCTAACTACTATGGCGGAGGGATGAAGATCTGCCCGCATGCGAGTCCCAGCTCGGGATCCCTGGATGTGCGTTTGGGGGTGGGGGATTGGTGTGGGTGCTGCAGGGTTGGTGATTTGCGGTGGGCATCGCTAACTACTATGGCGGAGGGATGAAGATCTGCCCGCATGCGAGTCCCAGCTCGGGATCCCTGGATGTGCGTTTGGGGGTGGGGGATTGGTGTGGGTGCTGCAGGGTTGGTGATTTGCGGTGGGCATCGCTAACTACTATGGCGGAGGGATGAGGATCTGCCCGCATGCGAGTCCCAGCTCGGGATCCCTGGATTTATGTTTGGGGATCGGGGGTTGGTGAGTTGGGGATTGGGTGCTAAGGTTTGGGTGACTTTTGAGGCGCCTCAAAAGTTGTTTGGGGATCGGGGGTTGGTGAGTTGGGGATTGTTGAGTCGACTCAAAAGTCACCTCGGGGGTTGGTGAGTTGGGGATTGGGTGCTAAGGTTTGGGTGGTGGCGCTGCTGTGTGTGTGTGTGTGGTGACGTTTGAGTCGACTTGAAAGGCACGAGAAACACTGAGTGTAGATTGGGGGTTGCTGTGGTTAACGGCCAACTATTCTAGGGGGGGCAGGGCAGCATGAAGTTCTGTCCACGCGCTAATCCCAGCTTGCGATCCTTGGAGATTTGGGGTTGTGTTGGGGGTTGGAGTGCACTGTGAACCGAGGGGCATTGGGGTGTGCGTGTTGACTTTTGAGAGGACTCAAAAAGCACTTGAACCTCTGAATGTGCGCTGGGGGTGGTGGGGGTGCGGGTTTCTGTGGGTCTCTTCATTGTGGCTCAACCTTCGATCTCCACTGGGGTTCAACCTGAGCTCTGTTCCAATGTGGTCTGATTTTTTCTTTGTAGACTCAAACATGCGGTACCCAAGGGTCACCCTGACTCAAACATGCGGTACCCAAGGGTCACCCTGACTCAAACATGCGGTACCCAAGAGGCGCCTCAAAAGTAGACTCAAACATGCGGTACCTGTGGGTCACTGCATGGCTCAACCTTTGAACCCCACTGGGGTTCAATCTCAGCTGTGTTGCAATGCGGGCTGCCGGCAACCCCCAGCTGCGGATCATCACAGGTCCTGGGCGCTGCCATCCTGTGATGATTTCATGATCTCATACTATGCTGCTCTCACTGCACAATGGTATCGACGTTATGGCTCTTCTAGTTGCCTTTCCTACGCATCTAATCACCATCCTACCATGCATCGTGTTTGGTCTCAACCAGCTGGAATTGCTTCCGAGTCAACTTAGATGTACCGTTCTTGCATGTATCGCCTTCCTCTCCTGCACACCTTACCACTGTCTTTCTCCCCTCATGCTCATCCCATCCTAGGTGGTAACCATATTTGGTTACACCGTGCAAGCATTCACCCTGCGGGGATTGCACCGCTTTGCATGGTTGTGGCCCTATCTGGCGCCTGTTTGTGTGTTTCTGATGCCTCCCCTGCTGTGTCGTTTGCCCATACCATCCCAGGTGGTAACAGTGTCCGGTTACACCGTGCTAGGATTCATCCTGCAGGGATTGCACCTGTTGCATGCTTGTGGCCCTATTTGTGTGCCGATGCCTACCCTATTGTGTTGTTAACCCGTCCCACTCCAGGTGGTAACCGTATGCGGTTACACCGTGCTAGGATTCATCCTGCGCGGATTGCACCTGTTTTCCGGCACCCATTTAAGCTTCGACGGCATAGATAATTACAGGTGCAGTGGGAGAATGAGCGGTGTAGAGGGAGAATGAGCGGTGCAGAGGGAGAAAGAGATGTGAAGAGGGAGAATGAGAGGTGCAGTGGGAGAATGAGAGGTGCAGTGCAGTGGGAGAATGAAAGGCGTAGAGGGAGGATGAGCAGTGCAGTAGGAGAATCAGCAGTGCAGTGTAATATCGAGAGGTGATGTGGGAGAATGAGAGAGGTGCAGATTTGGAGCCAGGCGTGCAGAGGGAGAGTGACGGGTGCAGTGAGAAAATGCTTGGTGTAGTGGGAAAGGGGATCAGAGAACGAGTGGTATGAAGGCACATTTGCCGTATGTTGTGTTATAGCAGTTGGGAGGTTTGCAACGCCCCCCTCCAGCTCCATATGGACATATGCAACCTGTGCACGAAATTTGACCTTTGAGACCTCTAAATTGGTGCACAAGAATCGGAGTACTTTCAGGAACTACCAAAAGTGATACGAGCACACCACAATCGCGGAACTCTTATTCTCTTCTCTCGTGTGTTGCTCACCCCTTTCCCTCCTGCTCATCCCAGTGCCGAGGTGATTGAAATGGTGGCAGCAGCAGAGGGTGACAGTAACGAGGCCAGCCAGGAGGTGTATGTGGAAGGGGATGGGGAGGCGCTGGGGCACCTGCCAGCGGTGTTCAGAGTACTCCCAGGGGCAATTGATCTTCTTGTTTAGCCATTCTTCTGAACGAGCGTGCAGTGTGGCAAATACCAAAGTAAATTAACCAGCGTTGTGTAGCCCTATTTGAGACTTATCTTGAAATGAGTGGACGTTGGCTAGCATAGGGTAGAGTGCAAAGTAGCTTGAATGCCTCCTGACCTCCATCATACTCGGCGACCGTCAAGTGGTTGTGTCTGTTATCATTTCCAGTGGTGCAACTCTCACTGGAAACGAATGCATCAAGGCATGGGCTTTGCAGAGAAAACAATCGTTGAAAAGTGCTGACTTATGATAGCACTGTGCTAAACTCCATAGAGTGCCTCATACTTTGTAATATTTCAATTTGGTGCCAAAAGGATCAATGATACCGTAACCCTTCCATTACACATCTGCTGTTTCCACCAGAGGCAATTCTTGCATGGTGCAAAGATGTGATAGCCTGTGCCAACACCATAGAAGTGAGTGACTCACCATTTATTTCCGATTAATTTATTGCAAAATGCTGCTAAAACCGATGAGTACTACTAGCCCTCCAATCACCCATCAGCTGCCCCATCAACCGCACAGCACACAAAAGCTAACACCCAGTGCTCCTAGGAATGCTCCCATAATTGATTTTTCACCCCATCCATTTTCCCAAATGCAGTCCTTTCTCGTGGCAAATTCTCCCGTCAGGCCCAGTTGAAACAGGGCTACGGCGCAGTCCACACGGCGCGGCTGGCCTGGCCGGCCTAGCGAGGAGAGCGGCGCCGTAGCGAGAAGAAAGAAGAGATACAACAAGATTCTGAGAAGGAATATTTATGCTACGAAGATAGAAGCGCGGCTCGTAAAGACAGCCCGCGTTGCTACGCTTCTAGCATGGCATCTTGGCATAGCGCCTCGATGCCATGCCCCGCTGGATTCTAGTAACATCTAATCACTGACGAGGATAAGGGAATATGCTCCGAGGTAGCACCTATCTCTATTCGGAGCTACCTAGGCAAAGGGAGGTTCCAACCGTTCGGGTATTCCCATGCGCGCTGGCATCGGGAATCCCAACTTGTAACACCAGTGGACGGTTTAGTCGCACTTGGAACGGCACTTCTTGGCCTTGCGCTTGCACTTCTTGTACTTGTCAGTGCACTTGGCGTGGTCCTTAGGGTCGTCCCTGTTCTCGCGCTTGCACTTGCTGTAGTCCGTGTTGCACTTCTTGTTCTTGTCCTCGCACTTCTGCTTGCAGCTGTGCAGCATGCGATGCGCCTGCAGGGACCACAGGAACCGCCTTCCGCCGAACAGGCTGCTAAGGAAACCTGTGAAAAAACAAGACAACGAAAATCGTGTCAGATTCAGAAAAACGTAGTATGGCGGTCTTGAAATTGCTATGAACACGAGGTCGGCGTGAATGGCGGCATACGGCGCGGAAAATAGCTGCTGGGAATTGGCGTATACGCACCAGAAGGCTCCGCGGAGGTGGAAACTTCGGTGTCGTCATTGTTGTCGGCGTCGAAAGCGTCGTCTTCCGCGACGATCTCATCCGCGCGGCACGGCGCGAGCGCGAGGGACACAACTAGGGAGAGCGCGAGTAGGATGCAGAAAAGTTTTGAGCGCCCCATGGCTTGAATGAGTTGAACTGAGGCTCACTTGCGGGGTGGAGAAGTTGCTGGGATAAAAAGCTCGCTAAAAATGATTTCTTGAACTGAATGGACTGGCAGTGGGGGCTCCGCCTTTTGTACCAGTTTGGAAATGAGCAATGCTTGCCC